AAAGTGAGAGTTCAATCCTACATGCAGAATCACCACGTGGCATAGATACCTACCCAATCATCTAATCCTCCAGTGATCCCACAAACAATCATTTCTGATTATGCAAAATGACATCGCACACATCAGACACCACAACAGTCATCCAACTCTTATCGTGACGACAGCAAATCAAAGCGACAAGCAAAGGGGGGGCGGGGGGATCGAGACTGAATGAGACGCCGTACGAGGGACAACCTCGAGACAAAGATAACAAAAGAAAATAAGGGCGAATTGCCCGAGCCGCAATCAAAACTTATATACAAGAAACAAAGGAAAAGACAAAAAAACTTGCAACTACACGCCCATCCATCTCAACTCTCTCTCTCTCTCTCTCTCTCTCTCTCTCTCTCCCCCCGATCCGGACAGTCCATCGTCACGCACTAACCCACGAAGTTGTCACCCCGCTTAGTCTTTCTGTACCCGTCGGGTTCGCCCACACGCTACAGTCCGTCGTAGCCCCACGCGTCAACCCCGTACATTTGGCACCAGCTCGTTGGGTCGCCCAACTCCCACTTCAACTTACCTCTTACTTCGCTCGTGAGCCGACCCTCACTGATCGCACTACCCCGAGCTTCCAACAACTGTTTTTTTTAGAGAGCTATCTAATCGCGCAACCGAAATTTATAGCGTGCATGCATGCGTGACGAACACGGAATTGCAAGGACTTAGAAGGGAGAGAAGGGGAGGGAATGCCTACGTTCTGCATGGGCAGATCACAATGTGGGGGACGTAGCCACTCTCCACGCATCGATCTGATCACGCAGTCCGCGGGCCAATTAGACACCGCAAAGAGGAGAGAGGGCGGGAAAGACGAAGCTCAAGAAGAAAGATACAGTTACAAGGGCGCCCTGCCCAAAATTACAGTTACACTCAAGATTAAGGGCGTCGACTAATCAGAGCTCCGTTGCAGCCACAAGAAGTAACGCGCGAGCAAAGAGCACCACCCGGGAAAAGAAATTTCGAGTTTCTGAATTCCTAAATTCCTATTTAACGAGAAAATGCAAAAAAAACATTATTAAAGCACAAATCCCAAAAAGAAAGTCCGAAATTCCGAGAGTCATCGAGGGCTCGACAAGATTCGAAAAAGAAATAAAAAAAGAAGCAAAAAAAACTCCCGCGCGATTAGCACGCCGAAAACCCGACAACAAAACAAACATTATTAATCGCGCCTCTGTCAGCGTGCCAGCCACTCAATTGACCATCCCGAGACTTGCTCTGCCTTGGCCCCAACCATCTGAAAAGAAGCGACGTAAAAAGAAGAACAAACAAGGAGATTGATGCAATTTCCCGCCGATCCCATCTCCCGTAATTGGCCCAACCTTCCCATCTTAGGACCCCTCATTGTCATCGCGCAGAAAGGCGCACGGCACAGAAAGTGGTTCGTCACATATGTGACACCCAGGGGTTTCCAATTTTAAGCAAGCTTCTGCTTGCTTGTCATTACGACACGTGTCGATCTTTCTAAACGATCGACAACGCGGAGCTCTCTACGTGCCTCTTACTGTGTGAAAGAGTGTGGACGTCATCGAGGGTGGCATACATTGCTCTATCCTACAAGTTTCCCAGGAAGGGCTCTATCAATTGGAGGAGGGGATCGCTCGTGCCATCCTTGCGACACGTGTCATGCAACCGCGCATTAGTAACTAGCAGGGAGAGGAAAGGGATTGCGGTACATGGGGGCATGTTGAGGGGGTGGGTCAGTCGAGAGTGGGGGTAGGAAGCTTTCCATTCCCGCGACTGTCACCGGAACTCCTTATATCGGACGATCCGATGGAAGCGAGGGAAGCGGGTACCGCCATGGGGGAGAGATGCGAGATAGTCGGGGTAGAGGGTTGCGAAGGTGCGGAGGAGGGCCGTCCGGAATCGATCATGGTTTTCACATGCGGGGACAGTCCCCGTGATCATGCAATAGACCTCGATCATGTTGTGGCCTCGCCACGCGGCACTGAAGAGAAGGACATGGAGGCAAAAGACAGCGGTGGCGCATCGAGTAGAAGGGTGCGGATGTACCGTGATAGCGAGGCAGGTAGTGTACAAGTAACGGAAGGTGTCAGTTGGGAAGGGGTTGTGGGGAAAAGAGACCAGGATGGTAATTTGGCGGAGGGTGAGGAAATCAAGGGGACGGAGGGATAACGACCGGGGACGAAGCCCGATGCCCCACATCGACACGTGTTCGAACTGGGGGACGGGAGGATGGGGAGGGGGATCGGCTCCGTTGGCTGTGTGCCGGTGCGCTCGAATTCTCGACAGCAGAGTCCCCATTGTCGTTCTTGGGTGGCTCGGGATCCTTGGTCGGGTCGTTCGGGATCGGCAGATCCGCGCCGCTCGCGTACTCCAGTGGCTGCTTCCCGGCCGCGATTTCTTCTCTCTGACTCGCTGCCGCCTCGTGATCCTCCTCTTGAGACTCTGCGTGATCCGCCTCCTCTCTCAGAGTCTCCCACTCAGATCCTTCTTCTTCCTCCAACTGATCTTCTTCTTCTTCTTCTTTTTCACTCTCCGCCCCCGATTCTTCCTTGCAGTACTTACTGTAGCTTCCTTCCTCCTCCGTGGTTTCTTCTTCGCTTTCGTCCTCCACCTCCGCTTCTTCTGCCACAACTCTCTCCTCCACCGCTGTTCGAGACGAAAAGAAGAGGACGTCGATGATCCCCCGAGGGTTCAGGTACTCCGCACGCAATGGGTAGCTGCCACCTCCCGTTCGATCCTCCAAGCAGGCTGACCACTGCAAATACGGCGTTAATCTTCGCGAGAGAACGTGCGGCACTGGGCTCTCGTCACACTGCGATATGATGTCGAGGGGGAGGTCGTTGACCAGCTGCGCAAATGGGATCGTGAGTTCCCACACGATCGTCTGCCGGTGGCCTGGCTCTACCGCTCCGAAGATGAATCCGAGGAGATCTCCTTCCACCTCTGTTCTCCAGGTCTGGATGAATCGCAGCTCCACGCTCTCTCTCGCGGTACGATGCTCACTGTCCCGTGTCCACGTCAGCTCCACTTCGACCAGGCACAGCGAAAGAGTGAGGTAGCGCTCACACTAGATTTCCCAGTGTCTTGGTTCGATGAGGGGAACGGCGAGTGGCTGGATACAGAAAGAAAGACGGGGATCGAGAGCAGACTGCCAGAAAGTGGGGAAGAGAGAGGGGACGAGCTCTGGGAGCACCACCGCCGGCTCGCGTCGGGACGTGCGGAGCCCGCCGACATCGACGTTGTTGGTGACGATGAGGTTGTCGTTGTGTCGCGCAAGCCACCGACTCCACTCCTGTGCTAGTTGTTCACACCACTCCCTTAGCGATTTCTGGATTATCGTATGCCTTGTAGGATCCAGCGCGTTGATGTCCCCGCTGAAGACGACGACGGTAGACCTGTGGCTGACCCCTAGCGCCGAAAGCCGTCGATAAGCCGATGCCTCGGCCAACACGAGTGTCCGGCTATGCGCCGCAAAACGGAACTCTGCTGCTGCATACACCCCAGTGGTGCTGAAGAACTGCGCAAATCGGAGAAAATCCGGACTGATCCGTGGATGATGGACTTGTCTGATGGCTGAAATATCGCCACGTGGTGCGAGCATGTGCTCGCCAAGAACCTGCTCGGTGGAAAAACTCATGGCGATGGTGGCGGGGACGGAGTATCGACAGGGGAGTGAGACAGAGAAGGAGAGGGTGATAAGCAGTCGTCGTCCTCTGCCGTGCTACAGGAGGACGCGGATGAAGGTGGAGATGGAGAGGAAGGGAGAGGACGCAGATAGGACACGTGGCGAGTGATAGGGCGGGCAAATCGGCTGCCGGATACCTCAGGCAAGAGCCGCACCGTGTTCACTCCGTTCAGACCGAGATCGACTATGAGAAATCGCCCGAAGAATCGAGGCGCTAACTTACCCTGGCGAGTATATTTCCTTACCTGCACGATGTCCCCTAACTTATATTGGGGCCGTGGTCCCGCGTTCCCATTCCGGGCCTCGTAACTGCGGACCTGTCGGTCGTGGGCCAACTCAGTCATTTTCTGGTTTTTTTGGGCTTATCGGGAAAGGGACCGCTCCATCAGCTCTAGGTGCCGCTTGGCCTTGTCTCGAACCGTGGCCCTCGTGGGCCGTCGGTTCATCGAAGATTCGTCCTGGAGGCTCGGTATCGAAACGCAAGCCACACTATTGGTCCGTAATTGAAAGGGGCTCATACCTGTCGATTCGTGGGGCGTTCCTTGATGGACTGCCAGGATGTGATCTACGATATCGGTCCAAGGTCTTGGATCCCGTGCCGCGATATTTCGTAGCAGTGCGGTCTTAATCACCCTATTTGCGTTCTCTACCAACCCGTTAGACTGTGACATGTGGGGTGCAGTATTCCGAATGGCGACGTCGTGTATGACCAGGTTCCTCAAAACTTCCCCTCTGAATTCCGCCCCATTATCGATCAGGATTTCTTCTGTGTCCTGATGCATTATGAGAAAACGGTTGACGTATCGCGCGATTTCTGTCGCCTGTCGCGTTCGACATGGATATGCCTCGATCCATTTCGAGAAGTGGTCTACAAATACTAGTAGGATTGAATACTCACAGCTATTAGGTTTAGGGGGCACCACAATATCGGTAGTGTCCATACTAACCCTTTGAAAAGGCCGTTCAACTACTGTCGGCACTATTGATCTCGACGACTGAATTGGCGCCTTGTCATCCGCGCAGACCTTGACAGTGCTGGACGAGGAATTTAACATCGTCGCGAATGTTGGACCAATACCACTCATTTTTATCGATTGCCGCTCCCCTGATCCGTACGGCAAAGTGGGTTGCGGTTTCCTCATGTGCCGTCTTAACCCAGTCATACCTCATGAACGGGTGCGGCACTACCATCCAAATCCCACTACCGTTCGTTTTTCGCTTCTCTAACCGACCCTCGTTCTTAGTGAAGTCCTGGAGGGGGGTTACCTACCAAGGTGGAAATTAAAGCAATATCCGTCCATACCTCGACCCTTCTAAATTTTCGGGTCTTTTCTAACCCTTCCAACGTGGCTTTGAGAAAGCGAGCCTCGGTCGAGATCTTATCGACTCGACACAAGGGGCACAACCAAGACTTGTCGCCATTTCGATACTGAATGCAAGAGCCATGGGCTCGCGCGACACACTGCCGACAATCTACCCACTCGACATAACCTTCCCCACTAGGATGCATAGGGACAGAGTAAACACGTGAAATTGCTTCGCAAAAATAACGAAATTTATCGGGAAGAGAGAGAAGAGATGAGGGTGAGAGGGGAGAGAGAGGTGTTGTAAGATTACCTCCGTCCCCCATTGCCACTTGTCTGCTTTTGCCACATGCCACTTGTCCGTACTTGGGTCTGTTCGTCGATTCCGGCTCCTTCCACAGAATGATTTCTTCACCTTTAGGTACCTTAGTGGGTCGATGCAAACGTGTCAACCCGTCGGCGTTCCCGTGCCTCTCCGTCTTTCGATGGACGATGTCGAAATCGTACTCCTGTAGGCGTACCGCCCAACGCCCAAGCATACCAGTGTAGTTAGTGAGTCTCTTCAGAGCCAGCAGTGGCTCGTGATTAGTCACTAGAAGAAACTTATGTCCGTAAAGATACGGATGAAAGTGCTGGATTCCCCAGACCACAGAGTAACATTCGCCTTGCGGGGCCGAATCGTTTCTCCGCTCGTTTGACACCGTACGTGATGCGTATTCGATGACGTGTTATCGACCGTCATTCCCCTTTTGCGCAAGAATGGCGGAAATTTCCTCCGGCTGCCAGTCCGTAATGAGAATGAACTGCTTCGTAAGGTCCGACCGGATCAAAATAGGTGTCGTGGCCAGAGCGTCCTCGAGGGTGGCGAAAACCTGCTCGCACTTGGCGTCCCAACTAAGAGGTTGGTCCTTTCGCAACGAGTTCGTTGGGGGCCTTGCTATCGCGGCAAAGCCCTTGATGAAACGACGATTGTATGACGCCAGTCCCAAGAAGGCTCGAACCTGCGTCAGTAACGTGGGAACGGGGGCGTCCTTCACCGCCACGACCTTTCTCTCGAATCTGGCCGCATTCCTCCCCGCGTCACCACGTAGCCTAAGAATGAAATCTCTGATAGGAAAAATTCGCTTTTCTCGAGCGCGATCTTGAACCTGGCGTCTCTCAGAGCTCCCAGTGTCCACTCGATATGTTGTGCATGTCCGTGATATGTTTCCGAGTACACTAAGATGTCATCCATGTACACGATGACGCAGAAGTTGATCATTCCTTGAGTCAACCGTGTGTTGTTGACGAAGTTATGAAAAGTCACGTTCATAGCCCGCTGAAACGTAGCAGGTGCATTACAAATCCCCATCGGGCACTGGACCCACCGCCACGTGCCCTCAAACAATACAAAGGCAGTTTTCGGTCGATCTTCCTCCTTAACCAGAATGTGATGGAAGTCATGACGAATATCATATTTACTAAAATATTTAACACACCCAATCGCATCCAACAAATCATCCATCCGGGGAAGGGTATACACATCTTTGATCGTGATATCATTCAACTTCCGATAATCGATGCAAATGCGAATCGACCCATTCTTCTTCGGCACTAATACTACCGGGAATGACCATGGCCCAGTGGCGGGTTCGATCCAACCATTAGCTTCGAACTCCTGAATCTGCTGAAGCGCTGTTTTCCGCTCCAGTAGGGAATATTTGTAAGATTTACAGTGGATCGGGTGTTGGTTTCCGGTTTGAATCTCGTGCTGTATAACCAGTGATAGTCCAATGTCTGTGTCTGTCACGCTAACCACTCCCTGGTATTCCTTCAGGATATCCGCAATGAGGTGGTGGATCTCGTCGGGTACATAGTGGGGCACGTGCAGTTCGTACGACTGGTTTCATATCTGCACATCGATCTGTTTCGTACCTACCCGCTTAGTGGTTTCAGGCGGGGGTGCGGAGATAAACGAGTTATCCGACCGCCAAGAAAATACCGTAGCCATCATCTGCGCATCTTCTTCTCGAATGGCTACGTGTTCTGTTGGGGTTACTCCATCGCGAATGTCTTGTCATGACACTGATTTGGTCGCGATTTTAATTCCGAGTCTTGTTTCGGGGTGCTCAGGGGGTTCCAAAGAATTGGCCTCCGCCCCTAAACGTAGCAATCGTATCTCTTTTGCAGGTGGCAAAAGAGATCGTGAGAGTCTCGTGATGTCGCAGAAGTGTCTTTTGTCGTTGTATCGCGCAAGGCGAGGGGAGATACATTCGTACAGGGTTCGAGGGGGTTCCAAAGAATCGACCATCCTTGATATCTGTACGAGAGGTTCTCCCAGAAACATCGCTTGTGTCCTTTGCAGGTTTCGATCAGTCAGGTTTAACGGTTTATCGTTCACTTGTTGCGGAGGGTAGCAGATGCGTTGTCGCGCCAGCTCCAGAATTAACGCATCATCCTCGTTACTGTTGTCCGCATCTTTCGATGATCACTCATCATCCGCGTAGTTTTCCCAGGTGATCAAACGGAGAGTTCCCGCCATTATCTGAGAAACTTGCGGGGCTATATTAACATTAGTACGAAAGGTCAGTCTCATAGGTATGGCGTAGGGTTTTCCTCCCGTGTTTCGGAGGATAGTCGATCGTCTTTCAAAGTCTAGGTTGGCTCGCAGAGCCATAAGAGCAGGTAAACCCAAAAGAACATCATAAGTGCTGACGTCCAATACTACGACATCTCGCAGAGCGTGCACCTTAGTACCCAATTGAAAAGCAACATTGGTCATTCGTCCCACTGTTTTGATTTTTTCCTCATCTGCTGAGACGAGTTGATCCTTCTCCGTAAGCATAATCAGTTCTTTCTTTCTTCCGGCTCTTTCGACTACTCGTAGTGAGATAGCTAAGACAACTGCTCTAGAATCAATAATGACTTTGGACGGGACTCCCCATACTTCGATATCAGATTCTGCGGATTTCCATGGAATCGCTTTGATCTGCAGGAAGTGATCATCTTTCCGGATCAGTCCCAAACGTATGGGGTCCGAAGTAGCAGCAGCGTGTTCATCTGGTGGCGGGTTTTTCGCTTTTGTGTTTGCTGTTCGAGCGAGGGCGAACCGCTTCCGGTTTGCCTTGCAATGTTGCAACATGCGCTCATTAGCTTGTTCTGATATCGAGAGTAGATGACCGATCGGAAGAGGAATCCGATGATCTAATGTTCGTACAATGTTCAAGACGTCGATTTTCCCGGTGACGAAGGTGGGTCCTCCCGACTCCATTTCTCCTGGAGAAGGTCGCCACTCTGCCACTTCCCTCTGTTCAGGTGCGGGCCTGATCGTTCCGATCATGCCCAATCCTGGATAGCCAAGCGTTACGTACTGGTCCAACGGAATGAGTTCAACGGCTTCTTCCGTCGTAGCTAGCGCGCTTCCCCCTCCTTCCATCTCTTCCATCAACGCTCCTACTCGTCCCGACCCATTAGCGATCGGGGCTGCTGGTACCGGTGCGGCTCCGATCCGTGGTTGTGGGGGTCGATGAGGGCAGTCTCGGGCTATATGCCCAGGCTGGTGACACGTGTAACAGATGTTATAATTACCAGCGGCCCCTCCAAGAGCGGGTGCTGGAGCCAGCCCGTGTTGAATCGGGGCGGCACGTACTGCTATCGGTCGCATCGACCTCATCATCGCCTCTATTCGAGATTTGTGTTCCCGTTATTCCTTTTTGCTTTCCTGGATCAGATTGACCAGTGTTTTGGTTCGTTCCAACAAGGCGGTTGATTCATTCGGTCGTGTGAGACTTTCGATTGGAGGTGGGGATGTCGTCATCACGAAAACAGGCATGCCCGTAATTACACTCGGGGCTGGTCGTTTGGGGCTAATCTGTTCCAAATAGGTGACAGGGCCAGACACAAATCCCATGTTTTCGAACTTATTCTGTAGCGAGGCCAACTCGGCTTTAGCTCTCGCCAGTTCAGACGAGTCTCCTTCCCTAGGATAATCTTCTCCTTCTAGGAAACTTGCGGCGAATTTTCGTTTCATCTCTTTTCCGATCGCCATGATCTGTTGCAGCATGTGATTGATGGGGAAAACTGTTTTCGCAGTTTCGCGCTCATCGCTCTGCTGCGAAGTCCGTCAATAAACAAATCTCTACCTACCTGTTCGCCTCGTTCGGTTTTTACAAACATTCGGTAAAATTGGTTTCGGTACTCAGTGACGGACTCGAGAGGCTTTTGGACTCGATCTTTAATCATTAAGAGGGTCTGTTCTAGATGGATATAATCGAATCGGTTCAAAAAGTCTCGCTCGAATGTCGGGAGATCAACCCATACATAGGTGCTAAACCAATGATGAGCGTCTCCCCCTAATCGAGCGGGAATGTTTACCTGTGCCTCGTTATCATCATACTGCTGAGCTCGGAGCGTGGCCAGCCATGCTCCAGCAAGGTGGTGAGCGGGATCGAATAGATAGAGATCGGGTGGGGCCATGAGTGTCCGTGCTCATGGTACGGGTTGATTAGGATTTAGTTGTTGGTTGGGGTTCTGTTGTGAATTTGGATTATGTTGATTAGCGTTCATGTTAGCCGTCCGTAGAGCCACAGACCGACTTCTTGTAACGACGGGGTCGCGTCGATGCGCTTTTCGGGGTCGAGGTCGCCCTCTGTTAGCCAGATCGCTTCGATCTCAGTTATCGCCCTATGAATCCTATAGTCTTGCCACGTGTCGGCTCCGATACCAACCTCACGCCCGGCGCGACTTCCTGATCGGAGTAGGATATGGGCCTGGAAGTGCAAGAAGGGGTGTGCCAAGGATTTTTGAGAAATTAGGGGTGGAGTCCCAGGTCAGAACTGAGATCTCCTGTGGCAAGGTTTCAGGGGCATAGGTGCAATGAGGCTAAGGGACGGGTTACTTTCGGTCTGAGGGCGGTCGATGTCGTGTAGCATAAGGCAGATGGCATGCGCGGTGCATCGTGGGCTGTCCGATCCGCCCGTTCTAGTGAAGGCGGTCCAGGGGAGGTCGGGGGTTGCGATTTCTACGGGTCGGACCTCCGGGTGTGGACACGTGTTGATGGTCGTCGTGTGTTGTGGTTAGGCTCCGTAATTCCAGAGGCTCGGCGGTTGCTGCGTCATCTACAATTTCTGCACGGCGTGTGGGGCCAATACGGGCTATGGAGTTCCACGGAACCACCGTGAGTTGGTGATATGGGAGGAGGATGTGGAAGGGAGGGAAATTGGTGGCGATAACGATGAAGCCGGGGGATATGAAATATTGCGTGTTATACGTAGTTGGGTAGTCGAGAGCCCTTGGGTCACTGGTTATGGCGCGACGAAAGTCCCTTGGACACAGTTGGTCGTTCTCGGTTAGACAGGGGAATTCCAGATGTCTCAGCCTTAGTTGTTCTCTCTCGCAGTATTCACTGTACTCTGGATCCCGCAATCCTTCCCAGTCTGCGAGGTACGACATCTTGGCATTCCGGCAGATCACTAGCTACAGCGTAGTGAGAACCTTCTGCACGCATCGGATCGTACTTCGATCGACAAGGGAATTTCCGGGTATGGGGGCGGAAATTCCTACCGGCTCAAACTTTCGCAAAAAGGAAATTTTGCGCTCATCGCGATACTGGAGGTGCCAAGTTCATTAGTGATCGTGAATCATCCGCGTGTTGACACT